TTTTATATCGCATTTTCAATCTACGTATTGGCTACTTTATAATCCGTAAACACTGAACTCGAACTGACTCCCTTTACTGTCATTATAATATTGACATAGTGTCTGTTTAAGTTATTGATAGACATCAGTTTACCTAATTCCTGTCTATAGTATTATTTAACTTTATTAGCCTCGTGAGTGCTATTATTTCGTTACTGTTAATTAATTACTTGTTAAATATACAATAATTACCTAGCTTCTCCAGTGTTGCCGTGCCCTAACTTGCTCCGTCAGAGAATCTCAAACAACATCATTCCATTTCTAGAAAAGACGTCAATTCCATCGTGACATTTTGTCTATCAGGCGCATACGTTCATGATATATTACGTCCGTCCGTGCTGACTAGTCTACACGAGGCCTTAGACTGATGTCACCATGACACGAGTTTTAGGGAATGTTAAAACAAGCATTTTAACGAATGGGCGATAGTAAACAAGGATCAAGTCGAGCTATAAAACATCGTGAGATATAGGTACCATTTGACGGATCTGTTCTCATTCCGCGCTTTAAGGGTACTATAATAAGATCAATATGTTTATTTACATACCTCGCCGGGTTCGTATCGAATCGGTACTGTGTAATGCCAAATGATCTGCGGCGGTACACAATTCAAGTTCGTAAATTAGTCACGTTACGTGGTTTATCGTCGAGCTATTAAACTTGTGTAATCGTAGAAATGAAACAGTCATCTGTATTAGATATTAATTAACCACTAACAGGGTTTGCAATTACAATTGTCAAATTTGCGAAAGTTAAATATATTCAAATATGACAGAAAAATTTATTAATCGAGTACGCCTTCATTATATTATTCTTTCTTGAGGAACATTACTAGGATTTACTAAGATAATAATAATAATTCAAATTTGATATTATGCAGCTTATTTTAAAAATTATTGGCGCTGCTATTAATTTGTAATATTGGTATGAATCGTAAATATTAAACAAAATATTATCATACAACATCAAATATTTACTGGATTCATTTTCACGTACACTGCTCATTAAATAAAACTAACTTTAAAAGGGGGAAAAAAACTATTTAATATAAGTTAGCAAGCTTACAATAGGTTCGTAAATCATGAAAATCCTTCACAGAAACAAAACAACGAAACTGTGCTTAATACTGTTATTAGATCAATACCAGACTACGATTCGGAGAATAAATTATAAGACGATTAACAAATGCCTCCAATAACAGACAAGACAATCGTACAACATATCACAGTGGCCAACAAAAATAATTTGAACCCAACGATGTATCCGAGGCAAAAAGCAAATATAACGAATCGACAAAATCTTAGCCACCCGCCCAGTTCAAGAGAAACTGGTCAAAACTAATCTGGCGACTTGCCAACGAAACGCGAGTTTAAAATTGTAGACACGTATATGTGATATTGGATCGTATAGACAAAGTTATAAAGTGGAATGTCGATCAGCAGTCGATCAGGGTAAACTTATTGGTGTTTGATAGGTTTCGGGATGTACTTGATACACTGAGACGTGATGGAAACGATATGAAGACTGTAGTCTTCAGGATATTTACAAAATATTATTGCGAGCACATAAATTTACTGTAAAGATTTACGCGTTTTAATTTGACGATATATTTATTTTGTCTAGTAAAATATTTAGCTTAAAAGATGAAATGATTAATAATGTTGAGGGGATTTGTTGTTTACAGTTTAGACGCAAAGATGTATGTATTTACGATACCATCACTTATTAACACAAAACATTAGTATGATAAAAACAAATATTAATATGGAATGAAGAAGAACGATATGTTGTTTTTTATTCTTTATAATTTAATGTCTTGAACATATTATTATTTTTATCTTTACGTTTTCCGTTCAAACTTTGTATTGTGTTAATAATATAAGTTAATATGCAACTACGAATTAGTTTTTTTTGTTCTTAAATTTCTTTTGTAATCGAAAGTTTGAAACAAGTCGAACCATTTTTTAATTTTTACAGATAAAGAAATGTAGATTATTCAATTATAGTAAAACTATTGTTAAAACGTTAAAAATATTTTCTGATGAACTGGTAACATCACTTTAGAATAAATATAATATTCCCATTCATAAAAAAACACATCAAATTAGATAGGTTGGTGCAGATCTAACCGTGTCCCACAGAACTAGGCGTTGTTAATTTTCCTCTTCCGAAAATTAAAATTTTGTTTTAATATCTAACCCAATATTTTTGTAATAAGAAGTATTTTTCATGGACGAAATAAAATCGACAACACGATATTGCGAACATCAATTCTCTGTACCACCATGTGCGTGTGACAACGAAAAATAAACTTCAATTCGTATACCATTAACTGCCGATAAAACATAGATTGAATGGTGGTAAAGTCTAAAATCCAATACGACAAATATAAAAAAAAGGTCTACCTAACAACAGAACAAAAATACTTCTGAGCTATTTTTCTATTATTTTTTATTATCATCATTGTCAACCCACAGTCCACAGCAGGACATAGGCTTTCTCTGATTTACCCTGTTTTCGACTTCAGTTGGAATGGGCAAAGTATACCGGCAATTCTTCATATTCCCTGCCCTAATACTTTAATGTTAAATTGTAGAGAACCTCGTACTTGTTACCTCGTAATAACACAATGTTATATTTACTATATGTTGGTAAAACTTTATAAAAGCTAAGAAGATAGTTTGAAATGCTTTGTTTTATTTCTACCTATAAATATTTCTAGTGTTGCACGGGGCTTCCATGCAACTTCATTCGGATTGATTTTGACGTTTGAAGCACCTTTTTAATAATGCACAACAAACCGAAGCCGAAGTTGATACAACAAGCCAAATATAAAGTCCAGGCAATTGATCTTATGCGTTATATTGGAGTTCATACAGTTGCATAAGGGAAGATGATCTTAATCATAGTACAGAATGTTTATTTCTAATAAATATGATGTAGAAAAGATAAAACCTACTTTCACTCGAGTTATACTAACTCCAGCAGATAAGCTTACTATAAACGACGGAAGGTGGAAATCTTGCTAATACTTGCATAAAATACAAAAACAGGAGTATCTTTTACAAAATGTTTAATGTGACAGATAAATTTTATCGGCCTCCGTTGTTATTTAAAAAATGTCAAAATTCAAAGAAAAATAAATTAACAACGGAGGCGGCATACGTTGCTGTCATCTACACTTACCGTTTCTGTATTTAGCTTGAATGCAACAGCCGCTATGTAATTCTTTGAAATACTAATACAAGGGATCAAAAATGTCCCCAATGGCTTCGAGAAACGGATGGTACTGCCGTGCCCTTTTTACCTTTTTAGCATTAAAGCATGCTGGATCTACGCAGTTTGCATTATCACAGTATTTTTTTTTAATGTCACTTCATCGGCTCTATCTCAATGACATGACCGGCATAAGTAGTACCTAGTTTCACGATTTTTCAACAGCGTCGGATGTAAATTCTGGATAAGTTGTTCTATGTATAATCGTGTTCCTTTCTAGTATGCATTTTGTTATATCAAAGAAATGATTAATCAAATAAATACGAGTTGCAATCACAAATTGATAGTTTTAAACTGTTCGTAGTCTGAATCGTTACAAACGCAAAATGTTATCCATAACTTTACCGCTAAATTGGAATTGTAGTTTCAAATTAGCAACATCTGGATTAAATTTTACTGCTTTCAGTTTAACAAACTTCTGTTTAAACGTGTCGTAGTTACGATCTAGGAGGGTCGACAATTACAGTTTCGGAGGTATGAAAGCGTGACGTATCGTTAATGTATCAACTGGTTGTACTTTATTATTTTTAAGGAACCATCTCGAGCAACTAAATTAACAATAATAAATTCTTTGTTTATTTTTTAAACGATATTTGGCTGTAATCATAGATATGATTTTTTCATAAAATACACAGTTGAAGTGAAATAAAAATCGTCATTTTACATACACAACGTGCGATGTGCATTATTTTTGTGTCGTAGGGGAATGTTATATGCAGTGTCCCTGCCGCTTCACTCTCTATCAATATTTAATCTTGTACAAAATAGACGAGCAGTCCTAATATTAAAAATAAATTTCAAAGCGAAATAAATTCCAACACATTCAAAAATAATAACGAAGATTAACGCCAAACAATTGACTGAAATCTACAATGACACAACAGCTTCATAAGAGACTCTCGAATACAATTGGCCTATTGAGAGCTTTCATTGCGTTCTACTACATTCGCTCATAGACCCTACAATAATGATCGTGCAGCATCAGACCGTATCGATTAATGGCTATTTCCGATTGGTGAATGCACGACACGAGGCGGAACTGTGACACGTGGACACTAGGGAAGCCGCTTCACAATTCTACTCTACGATACGTCAAATCAAGAGACTACCGATTTCAAATATCGACGAAAATGTCGACATTATTGAATCATTGGCTAAAACTTCCTTTTGATAACATATTATCTGAATGATGTCAGATATATATTAGTTTCTTGTTTGTGAAAATTTAGTTACACTAGAATTTGATTCTATGAAACTTGCTAACGTTCGCTTTTGTGTGCTTACCAATATTTCTACGAATTGTACAAAGTTCTATACTGCCTTCATAATATGTTATTATGATAAATCGTAAAAATTGTACGTCTACTGAATAAAAAATTTGTCTGTTTCTAAATTTCCAACAAAGAGCGACGTAGTCTTAATGAAGGAAACTTGACTTGCAAAGTAATTTTTTAAAAGGATAATTTGGATATGTCATGAAAATAAAATACATTATGTTATTACTGCTTGAAAATGTAAAGTATACAAACAATACAAAAAGGTTAATTTTATTAGTACTCACGTGGTATCTTACATGACAGCTTATCCTTATCTTACATAAATATTATTTACATTAAAAACATATTTATCATTTACATTCACTCATGCAATAAACATTATAAATAAATAATCAACAATAACATTACCAAGGTCAAAATTTAAAATTAGCACCACCATCAAGGAAAATATTAGCACCGTTTACGTTCGGACATAAGCCGCTCGCTACAAAAGCTATCATTTTTGCCACTTCCTCTGGTTGTACTACATTGACATTATGATTATCTATTATCATCTGATTCACAAATTGTTTATCTTCATCGACAATATTTACTTCATTAGATAAAGAGTTTGTTAACGCTACACACACAGAATTGACTCTCACTCCAGTGGAAGCGACATCGACAGCGGCGACTTGAGTGAACTTCTCAATAGCAGAATTCATAATTGAATAGCCCAAAAATCCATTCCTAGCTAATTTTTGAGCACCTCTCAAGATAACAACATTGCCTTTAGTTTTGACTAAATGCGGTAACGATAGGTGTGCGAGTTTAAAAGGCACTCTGAGATTATTGATGAATAATTCGTCAAAAGAATCTATATTTTCTTCGAATAGCGAACTGTAAACAATTTTTCCAGCACAATTTATGAGAACGTCAAGTCTTCCAAACGTGCCAACTGTTCTATGAACGACTTCTTCGCAACTTTTGTCTTGAGTTAAATCTGCTTTCACAATGAGTGGTATTATTCCTTTGGCTGCTGCACAGAATTCTGCTACTTCTTTTAATTTATCTTCATCACTATCAACTAAGGATAAGACCGCATTGTGTAAAGCCAAAAGTTTGGCTATAGCAACTCCTATTTCTGAACTCACGCCTGTCACAATAACAACTTTACTGGTAAAATCCATAACGTGTCTCTCTTTATAGAGTTCGTTTGCTACTGATACGTGTATATCTTCATTCATTATAGTAGACTATTTATATCGCTTTACATTCTTATCATGTATGTCGTCTATATTATCTAATATGTACTCAAATCATAACTCAACGTAAATATTTGTATAACATTGTACTGGGGTCGGGAAAATACAAGATTAAAGATTTTAATTAAGTACTTTAAAAGACAAAGTCAATTTTGTAATGCACGATAATGTTTATCTTCGTTTAATAGAAAGATAATGAATTTAATATCAAATTTGATACCAATTATATTAAAATTAATTATTTATATATTCCGATCATTTGACACTGACACAATCGTGGAACTAACTTGTCTTCTATAATGAAATAAATACAAGAGCAATTACTTTGAATGTTCAGGCTGTACGGCTGAATCGACATTTTCATTTCGCATTAAAGTAGTGAGTGCTCCATTAATATGTTTATAAATAAGATTTAATAATAATAAATACTCTTTATTGCACAAACCATATTAAAATTACATAAACAAACATAAATCAATACATGAAAACGTACAAAAGGCGGCCTTATCGCTAGACAGCGATTTCTTCCAGGCAACCTTGCATTGGATGGAAAAAAAAAAATCTAATTCGTTACGTTTCCGAGATTTAAAGCCATCTAAAACATTGAAACTCTTTCGAAAACGAACCCTCTGAGAACATACGAGTGTTACTTGTAGTTTAACTTGCGAGAATCATTTTATCCTAGTGGCGTCGTTTTGAACACTGTGAGCCGAAATTTAACTCGAGCAAATATTTTTGTTATGATTCTATGAAAGCTTGAAATCTACAATATAGCATTTAATGATAAAGTCTCGTGGCTGACGTAACTTTTGTTAAGTGAATTTCAACGATCTCTCCATGACGATGAAATTCAAGTCTATGGTTACCATACATTATGTTGATAACGCAAGAAACTTAATTTAACCGCAAATCGTATCTGTATAATATATCGTCACCGGCATTCTTTGCCCAAGCAAGACACTTTCGCTTTTATAAACTTATAGTATGGTTTACAATTAATTGGGTCGTTTGTTAAAATGTACGTCAATTTTTGTTTCTACTCCAATATAATTGTTATTTTTCTCTCATTTCAGTCTTACCATTACAACTATTGAAGCTAGAAAATGGGGATCGGAAGCTATTATTCCTAGTCTGCCTAGATGGAGGTATCATATTGCATAGGCTTAAGGTTCAATATTGGTATAATGAGAAAGACCTGAAGCTTATCTCCTCCACTCCATTAGAGAATTGGACGACACTTTTGTTTGCAACGCAGCACATAATGTACGGCGAGCTACGGTGCAATACATTGCATTGTGGCCCAAGACAATAGAAAAGGGGACCTTATGTTGATTTGCTTATAAGCAAGTATTTTACAATAACCTAGATAAGAAATTTTACTTATTGAAGCATCCTAAGCAAATTTTCATGGTACTTTAAACTTTTAAGGCTCTAAATAATGAACTCTAAACCTAAAAGGTTCGCGTTCATCATTTATACGTAAGAAGTATCAAACTCTATCTCTAAGTTATAAATACGAGTATTAGATAAAGAACTTAAACTCATTTATTGCATATCACAGAGATTACTCAGATTTTGAAGTATGTAACATCCATTATGGAGTATCAGAGACAACGAACGTACCACAACGCCCTGACCCGAGACAATACAGAAAAGTTCATTTTCCACATTGAGCCAGACGGGAGCCGAACCCGTATTCGAAAGATAGCGAAAATTTGAAATCGAAGTACGAGCCACTCGGCTATCATTATATTTATTACTCATCAGCCAATTAAGGTATGCAAAAAAAGTGTACAAATTACTATTTAAGTTATAATATCAACTAATTAATATATTCCGAACCAAATGTTAAATAATTGCACGGATATAGGCCTTCCCTACGTCCCTTCCTTTCCATGTGGATGGAATTAATAAAGGAGAAGGGGCTATAGCCCATTGGCCCACTTAGACCCAGACCGGATTACCGGGTGTCAACGAGTGTAGATACAGCTCTACATGCTTTCCGAAGAAAGCACAGTACAAATGTTTTGTATGTATTTTCCGCGACATCTTCGTTGATATAAATAAAAGAGTTTATTATTAAGGGGGTCCTATTAAAATGTCACGAAGATTGAATTAATATTTCTTTGTAAACCAGAAAAAAATTTGTTAAATCATCTTTCGTTTCTCACCACAATCAAAATTTATGTTGTTTATGAAGTAAGGCCAGCAAATATCGCAGGATATCAATTAGTTTTTTGAATTTGTCAACTGCCCTTGTTGTAATTAAGAATTTAGTTAATTTCCTGTTTAAAGATAATGTTGGGCTGTATTATTCCAACTATCTCTTGTGACATAACGCTGGTCCTCAAAAGGGGAGACTAAAAATAGAAAACAATGTGAGGCATTTAATATCTTTCCGTAATCATATTGATGAGTATCATTTAGCTAATTGAGCTTCTGTTTGCAACCGGTCTCTGGAAATGTGTAGTGAGATGGCGACTCAATTTATAACATAAGCTGGATTTGACGTGTCTAATATAGAAATGTCTAATAATCGTTTCTCTTTAATATTATGAAGAGGAAATATTTAATTGTGTTCGCATTGAAAGGTTCCGATATTAGTGGAACGATTTTTAAAGACGATTTTTAAGTTATTTCACTTACAGGAAGCTACATCGGTACGCGGGTGACATAGGCTATAATTTACGCGAAGCCGTAGGAAAACAGTTCGTATTCTACATATTAAGATGAGAAGAGGTTATTTGGGAGATTGAAAAAAATAACAAAATCGTATAAATTTAAGCTTGCAAAGCTGATTCCCGATGGTACCCACTCAAATATACTTGCCCACGGACGTTTGTTCAATCGCGACACTTACCTGAAACAAAAAGAATTAATTATTCCAGTAGGCAAAGGAATTATACAAAAATAATAAATCGAAACGTCCCCGCCGCTTCTGTCTGTCTGTTCGCGATAAACTCGAAAGGTACTGGCCGGATTTTCATGTGGTTTTCAACAATAGATAGAGCAGTTCTTGAGGAAGGTTTTCGTGTATAGTAAGTTTAGGTTTTGTATAAACTGACGATATTACAACGATATTAGTTCAATATGTCGGAAAAAATAAAGCCGATCGGAAGCTTTCCTCGAAAACGCTTCCGAAAACTTTTGAGTTATAACAAAACATTGTATGGTGGAATTGTACCTCTTTAATCTATCTACAAAAAAGTCCGCGGTGGTTACGGATACTTAAAACACTAAAATGATGGGTTATTTACGAACTTATTTTTAACAACACGGTATTGATCCTTATTCAATTAAATAAGTTAGATACGTTATGCATGTAATGTAGATAAAAATTGCCTTTCACACAAAAAAATCATAACTAATGAGTTGAAAAATAAAAATCGCCGGACGAGCTATTAAATATCGATGAATAAAAATGAATCGCCGAAACGTAGGTACGCACATAACTTCAGAATTCCAGTTCCGACTGCACCAGATTGGATGATTCTATTTTTAATGTGTTCCACGATTAATGACACGGTTTGTATATAAGATTTTAAAAAAAACAGGTATAAGGCAGTTCAAAGTTCCCCGGGTCAGCTAGTTCCTTATATTAATAACGCATACTTTCTAATAATAAGTGCTCATCGAGTAGTACAAATACGTGATTGCAATTCGTAATCTATATCACAATTAGGGTTGCCAACATTTCTTCAGTGAAATATATTTTATTGTATTTAAAAAAATAAGCTATTAAAATATTACGCCTCATAAGATATATAGTACCAAATATATAATAAATATGAACTAAGAGAAAGGTATGGAGGTACACGCAGTGAAATAAAAAAAAAAAGATATTTTATTCAAATTAGCTCTATGAAAGCACTTTTGAATAATTCCAGTTTTCTTTTGGCTTTCAAGAAAAACCAGTTGAAGAAACTTATTAGCTCTTGAGAAGTAACGACTTTTACATAAGCTATCTAAGTACTCGATATGGCATTAAACAAAAGTTAAAATCCCTCATAAATTATTTATTACATTTCGGTGTTAAAAATATAGTATTTTTGTGTAACAAGTTACACAAAAATACTATATCGTTTTCGTGTAGTAAGTTTCTCCAACGGTATATAATGTAGGCCTAAAATATATATAATGCTAAGCATTACAGTACGGTTGGCAACCCTATCAATACAATAATTAGACAACATCTGATATACTCGTACATAGCTATGTAAGCAGTAGAACATGAGCTCATGTTCTACTGTTCATGTTCAAATAGTTTTGTAGAAGATTTGTTTTTATATTTTCATTTTAAAGTATCTGTTTGTGAAATTATGTTGGCAACAAATCGCCAACGACAATGAAATCAGTAATACTCTTTTACCATCAAATCAAAAATAATTAAACGCGACACAATTGCAATTCGTATTAAACGAAGATCCGTGAAAATGTAATCCGTATATTTAACTTATCTCGCAAAAGATTGCATATCAAATTACGTGTCATGTGAATTAGGGTCAAATTTAATTTGCATAACCTGCCAGCTTAAAATTCTGTCGACACTAAAGTAACTAAATTTAGTTGTAATCCCGTCAAACAGCGTTGTCAAACGAAGCGAAACTCATAGTTTACAGGAGTATAATTATATTTATCGGATTACATGCGCGACTGGATAATTAAAGTAAATCAATTAAATAGAAATAAAGTAAATTAGAAAATGTTAAGCGTTCAGTTTAGACAGTGGTACAACATAATTGGCACTAATATTGTCAACAACCATTAATAACGAAGCTCTGATGTATGTTAAAGAGCCATTCGGTTGTCATTATACAAGCTCTGTGTTGAAGCTTTACAAAGTGCTAGTATTTTTTTTATTTCACAGATATATTTATACATAACTACTTTTTTCAGTACACTTTGACTGACTCACTGACAGACTCTTCATAGTAGCACTTTTACGAGACCTATTGTCGCCGTCTGATAAATTTAGTCTATCT